ATTGCAAAAACTACAGCCTGATTTTAACAAGTTCGGATTTTCATATTTGGCAATATTATCTGAAATGTATGCAAAAGCTCATTGTGAGCCATACAGCCTAATTTGAACAAATTCTGGTTTTTATATTTGGCCCTATTATCTCAAATGTATGTTAAAATTTCACAATTTTGTCCATTGGAATGAGGTTATTAGAATATTACTTTAGCTTTGACTGTTACTGAACCATGATGAACCAAATGGCACATCATTGTTACCTACTTTTGGCATGACGAACCAAATGGCACATCATTATTACTTGCTTTTGGCATGACAAACTGAATGGCACATCATTATTACCTGCTTTTGGCATGACGAACCAAATGGCACATCATTATAACCTGCTTTTGGCATGATGAACCAAATGGCACATCATTATTACCTGCTTTTGGCATGACGAACCGAATGGCACATCATTATTACCTGCTTTTGGCATGACGAACCAAATGGCACATCATTATTACCTGCTTTTGGCATGATGAACCAAATGGCACATCATTATTCCCTGCTTTTGGCATGACGAACTGAATGGCATATCATTATAACCTGCTTTTGGCATTATGAACCGAATGGCACATCATTATTACCTGCTTTTGGCATTATGAACCAAATGGCACATTATTATTACCTGCTTTTGGCATGACGAACCAAATGGCACAACATTATTACCTGCTTTTGGCATGACGAACCAAATGGCACATCATTATTACTAGGGCTCTCATGGTTTCATAATTCCTCGGTTCCGTCCGGTTCACGGTTTTATCTCCTCGGTTTCGGTTCGGTTTTCGGTTCTTATCCCACTTTAATGTAAAAAATCAAATAACTCAAAAAGATGGCGCGATTTCATTATTTAAATGAGCAGCCCGGGAACATGTTTACCTCTAATCTAACAGTCTAAGTCAGTTTTATTTACAAATTAATCATTAACTTTGTATTGTATTTTATTTATGCGATGATAAATAGATGGCGCGATTTCATAATAAATAAGCGGCCCGGGAGCATGTATAACTCTGATCTATTCTATTTCTGCAGACAGCAAATGTTCACATTTTTTCACACGTACCTTTCTCATATACCATAACGATTTTGCAAAGCCGGCATATCGTTCTTTCTGGGAGAGGAACGACATCTCTCGTTGGAAATCCAAAATAACCCCAACAGTGGGCCTTGTACGACTTTTGAGCGTTTAGAATGCCGAAATCTTCACCTCTCGTTTCGAGATTCATCTTCCTCTACTTTAGCGAACGGCACTTTTTTTCTGAATTAACGAACCGTTAAAAAACCGAACATCGGAGTTTTCGAACCGAACGTACCGACCGAGGCCCAAGAACCGCGGAGCACCGCAGTTTCGGTGCACTGTTAGACCCTTAATTATTACCTGCTTTTAGCGTGATTAACCAAATGACACATCATTATTACCTGCTTTTGGCATGAGGGGTGGGGGAAGATCTTGGTCCATGCTCTGATTCATAAGCCTCTCTATGAGTTTCTGGGCCTCCATTTCATTTGTGGCATGAGCCGTATGCGTCATTGTGGTTGGTCTACTGATAACAGCAGCCTGCAATACATATACAAAATAAATAAATAAAGTTTGTGAATTTTTCTTCAGTAAGCTCATTTTTTCTGAAGCTCGAATACTGAAGTCCTTCAGCATTTCCATATGTTGGTGGTTTCACAATAAGTGTGTTAAACTTTGACATCATATGTGGTCTTAGCATTTGTACTTACTCCAGCATTTCGATGTGTTAGTGGTTTCACAGTAAGTGCCTTAAACTTTGACATCATATGTGGTCTTAGCGTTTGTACTTACCCCACATTTCCATGTGTTAGTGGTTTCACAGTAAGTGCCTTAAACTTTGACATCATATGTGGTCTTAGCATTTGTACTTACCCCAGCATTTCCATGTGTTAGTGGTTTTGCAGTTAGTGCCTTAAACTTTGACATCATATGTGGTCTTAGCATTGGTACTTACCCCAGCATTTCCATGTGTTAGTGGTTTTGCAGTTAGTGCCTTAAACTTTGACATCATATGTGGTCTTAGCATTTGTACTTACCCCAGCATTTCCATGTGTTAGTGGTTTTGCAGTTAGTGCCTTAAACTTTGACATCATATGTGGTATTAGCATTGGTACTTACCCCAGCATTTCCATGTGTTAGTGGTTTCGCAGTTAGTGCTTTAAACTTTGACATCATATGTGGTCTTAGCATTGGTACTTACCCCAGCATTTCCATGTGTTAGTGGTTTCGCAGTTAGTGCCTTAAACTTTGACATCATATGTGGTCTTAGCATTGGTACTTACCCCAGCATTTCCATGTGTTAGTGGTTTCACAGTTAGTGCCTTAAACTTTGACATCATATGTGGTCTTAGCATTTGTACTTACCCCAGCATTTCCATGTGTTAGTGGTTTCACAGTAAGTGCCTTAAACTTTGACATCATATGTGGTCTTAGCATTGGTACTTACCCCAGCATTTCCATGTGTTAGTGGTTTCGCAGTTAGTGCCTTAAACTTTGACATCATATGTGGTCTTAACATTGGTACTTACCCCAGCATTTCCATGTGTTAGTGGTTTCACAGTTAGTGCCTTAAACTTTGACATCATATGTGGTATTAGCATTGGTACTTACCCCAGCATTTCCATGTGTTAGTGGTTTCGCAGTTAGTGCCTTAAACGTTGACATCATATGTGGTCTTAGCATTGGTACTTACCCCAGCATTTCCATGTGTTAGTGGTTTCGCAGTTAGTGCCTTAAACTTTGACATCATATGTGGTCTTAGCATTTGTACTTACCCCAGCATTTCTATGTGTAAGTGGTTTCAGAGTAAGTGCCTTAAACTTTGACATCATATGTGGTCTTAGCATTTGTACTTACCCCAGCATTTCCATGTGTTAGTGGTTTCACAGTAAGTACCTTAAACTTTGACATCATATGTGGTCTTAGCATTGGTACTTACCCCAGCATTTCCATGTGTTAGTGGTTTCGCAGTTAGTGCCTTAAACTTTGACATCATATGTGGTCTTAGCATTGGTTTAGATTTGGTCTGTTGTGATTTCAAAGCTGCCTCAGCCTTTCTTTGCCTCACAGGAGATGCTACAATGAGAAATAATACCATCACTATCAACACTTTATAAAAATGAAAATGCAAAGAAATAATCGCAAAGTTGAACTGGAAGGCTAAAGAAAAACAATCTAAGGATATTACATTTAGCTGGTAATTAGTTATATGTTAGGGAGTATTAATTGATGAAGATGAAGTTGTTGAAGCATGCTACTGGAATCCACAATAAGTTCGATAAAGTTAATTCACAATGACAGTATGCAGTATGAATATAGAAATTACTTCAAATGAGTTGGGAATCATTTCAAAAGTGACTGCTTAGTAGCCCTAATTTATTTGTGCCATAATACCTGAAATAAGAAATATCTCTGCTACAAGAAATGTATACTATACTCACATGGTGGCTTAATTGGTGCGCCTGAGGGTGGGGCTGTATTGCTAGGTGGAGGCATTGATCTAGATGGAGGGGGAGGTCTGGAAGGTGGGGCCCCAGGTCTTGGAGGGGGCCCAGCTTTCTTAGGTTCCTGGGTGACTTGTGGAGGAGGGCCACCCAGGGAAATCTCAAACTCAGGCTGTATTAACACATCTGGAGGTTGTGTTGTATCTGAGGTCAGTTGAGGACTCTCGGCATCAATGGGCCTGTCTGGGGGTTCTTGCCTGCTGGGTGGGGGCCCAGGACGGGAAGGTGGACCCCCGGGTGCTCCATCAAAGCATGGTGATTCAGAAGTCACAGGAGTGTTTCGACCTACAAAATATTGAAGAAAATTTTGAAGAATTATTTCAATAATTTAATTGCATTCAGCTTGAATATAAAAATACTTTTCGGTACTTCAATTTAAAATAGAAAACACATTTACTGAAATTCATGCCAAACGGAAGTTCTCCTGTGTACTCTTCTGAACATGTGTGATGTTCAAGCTTTCAGTATAATATCCATGTAAGTTGGTTGTTGTCTGATATTTCCATGGAACTAACACATAATTCAAATTTAGAACATCAATATAAATGAATTATTGACTATACCTAATCAATTCTGATAGTAATTAGTTCAATGAGACAAGTAAATACCTGATCCAAGAGGGGTGCCATTATTGCTGCTGGCCTGTAGACTCATCACTTCTTCATCTTCATCTAAACAATTCAGTTACAACTATGATATTTACATATTATGATACCTTACCATATTTGGAAATCATACTTTACAAAGAGGGACATCTATAATAATATTAGCATTGGACATGAACTCAAATTGTTCTATATGAATTAATGGTGTTGATGAACAATGTCATTTTCATTTGGGAGAATGTCCAACCAGAGAAGAGAAAGATATCAGAGAAGATATCATGTCACCAAAATTATTATATTCAGTGTTTTAGTGGGGATTGAAACATTGAAGAAGATGCCAAATATGTAAGCAACTATAACAACAACAAGGCTATTGCACAACCTACCATCAATGTCAAATGAAAGAGAAGGGATGTTGAAGTCCTCTCCAAGAAGACTGTTTGTTGTGGCACTATAGAGAGCCTTGGTGTTGGACTGCCCCATCTCAAACTCTTTCAGAAGCTGCTTCATCCAGCCCTTGGTCTTCAGTGCCACCTTTAGAGTGGTTCCCTCAACCTGCAACATACAATAACTTTCTGATATGATACATGATGTCACAATAACTAGAACATTTGATTTACCAAGGTTGTCTCTGAATCAGCTATTTAAAGCACAAATGCTTATATAATTCAATTTAAAATGGTAAACGGAGTTTCATCTTAACATAGATGTTTCTCACCTCCTTTCCATCACAGTGAAGAGCTTGAAGAGCCAACTGTCCATTTCTGAATGTAAGCCACATTCCATCATCAACAAACCTAAAACAACCATTGAGTCAATTAGAACATACTCACAATGCATTAGAGCTAATGTTAAGATCATAATAGACCCACTTGTTGGAACAGCAAGTTTGAGAATGAAAATATTCTAAAGACAAATCTTAAAAAAAATTATTTTGTATGTGACAATAAAATGAAAATAGAATGATACCTGACAAGAATCACTTCGCCAACTTCTGCAAACATTGTTAATATACCATCTATGACTTCATCAGAGAACTCTTTCTGATTGGCTAATGTAACTATAGCAGTGCCATCTGGTGGACCTTGTATAGAGATAACCTCTTGATAGATGCTCTCTCTGAGATCTTCATTAACCTAATATTGCAAATAGAATAGTGAAAATATTAATGATGTGTTACATGTAAGGTCATTATCAAAAGATGAAACTATTTCCATCGTACTATTTTCCATTACGTTCAGACAGAGAACAGACAACTCGAGAGCAGGGAGCTATATTAGCTGAATTTTGCAGGCAGTAAATTAAAATTATGCAGCAAATAACACAAAATTATGTGGGGGAGATGCAAATTATGCAACCTTGATACGGCAAAATTCAAAAAACATATTTCAAGTAAACTAAAAAAGCCTTCTTTAATTTCATGATAGCACTGACCTCAACTCACCATAAGACTACCACCATTTTTTGGCGTGGGTGATTATAAACTTTTTTAGAGTTTTTGTTTATTTTATATGAAGATTGTGAAGCAGGGAAACATCAGGTGAGATATTCTTTGAGAGAAGTGTGAATTTTGCAAAAAGTATGCCCTGATGAATAAAATGATGCAGCATTTCTAGAAATTCAAAATTTTGCAAAATAAAAATGTGCCATGTAGAGACGCATACTGATGGGCCAACATGCTTCACTACACCCTATGCAGACAGAGCCTGTGGGAAATATTGGGTGCGGCGCAAATGAGCGGAGGGTGCGGAGTTAACGGTCATTTTTGAATTTAAAACTGGGGTATTTCTGAAACTAAGCCGTTTTGGGACTTCAAATATACCAAGATATGTGTATTTGACACCAAATATCAATAAAATTGTGAAAATAGTAGTGCAATTCATTTTATAGCGACGCAGTATGCCTTAAACATTTCCCAGACCTATATATTTTGAGACTATCCTTTTAATACTGCGTCCCCAGCATTCATAAAAAATGGTGTTCAAGATACACTACCCATGCAAATTATTTTTGCATCTTGGAAGCCAGGCAGTATCTGTGTGTTTTATAAAAATTCGGAAATGTTCTTCAGATATGAGCCCCCTCTAAATATTGGGTGCGGAGCTACGTTTATGGAGCTGCTCCGCACCCAATATTTAGAGGGGGCTAATATCTGAAAAACATTTCCGAATTTTTATAAAATCACACTGATACTGCCTGGCTTCCAAGATGCAAAAATAATTTGTATAGATAGTGTACCTTGAACACCATTTTTTATGAATGCTGGGGACTCAGTATTAAAAGGATAATTTCAAAATATATAGGTCTGGGAAAGGTTTAAGGCACACTGCGTCGCTACTATTTTCACAATTGTATTGATATTTGGTGTCAAATACACATATCTTGGTATATTTGAAGTCCCAAAACGGCTTAGTTCCAGAAATATCCCAAATTTAAATTCAAAAATGACCGTTAGCTCCGCACCCTCCGCTCATTTGCTCCCCACCCAATATTTCCCACAGGCTCTGTCTGCATAGGGTGCACTATGTCTTCTAATTTAGAAGATACAGTATTAAATACCTCTAAAATCTCAGCTTCTATGATGGCTATGACAGGTCTATGATCTGACGTCTTCAACTCTGCTCTGTCGTACAATAATAACTTTCCCGGACAAGGGGGTGGTAGGTCACAATCTGAAAACAAATTATGCAATCTGAAAACAAATTATGCAATCTGAATACAAATTATGCAATCTGAATACAAATTATGCAATCTGAATACAAATTATGCAATCTGAAAACAAATTATGCAATCTGAAAACAAATTATGCAATCTGAATACAAATTATGCAATCTGAATACAAATTATGCAATCTGAAAACAAATTATGCAATCTGAATACAAATTATGCAATCTGAATACAAATTATGCAATCTGAAAACAAATTATGCAATCTGAATACAAATTGAGCTCATCAGTTTCATTCCTGAAACTGTGAATTATTTACATTTAAGTCTTTATAACTGAGGATAATATATTTTCATGTTGCTCCCCTTCCCTGAAAACACTAATAAAAATACAACCTTATCCTGTTACCTGCCTCAACTTACTTATTTTAAATAGTACTAAACCAATAGTCAATGGAGAGATAAAAAGAGGGCAACACTGTCTGTGAATTGGGAAATAAGGAGCTTGCAAAGAAAACTATAAAAATCATGTGATCGAACAATCTAATTTATTTATGAGGGTGATCAAACTTTGCCATGATCTTAGAAATTATGCCCTTACGGCAAATGAAAGCAGGCAAAGGAGTTTTAACTCACATACCATGATACAACTTTGATCATATACAATGGAAATAAATGTTGGAAAGTTACTATCTGATAAGTAAATTTCTTTACCCGATTTCCTTGGCAGGTCTCTCCTCCTCTACAAGACCATGTCTGTCCACGCAGGTCAATTACAACTATATCTAACTACATAATTATATAGATATATATTTTTATACAATGGGTTATATATAACTTCATTTCTTTACCAGATTTCCTTGGCAGGTCTCTCCTTCTCCACAAGACCCTGTCTGTCCATGCAGGTGTCCTCTTCTTCTCACTCGTGTCATAATCCTGGCAGAACAAGTCATATTTGTAGGTCGGCGCAAAGTTTGGAAGTCCTTCGTTATATCCATTAAATGTCTGGAAGTATGAGGTATTTTAAGATTACATGCAAGAAAATCTTAACCTGAACAACTCTAATATCAAACTTCTGGCCTCATTTGAAAGGTATATTATATTCATTTGGTAACTGACAATTTAAAGCTAATTTGCAATTAGTTAAATAATTAAAATAAATTAACTATGATGATACATGTAAAACAAGAAGGAAGTAACATGACATGATATAACCAAATGCTAAAATTAGGCATATGGTTACAAAAGTGTAAGTTTTTTACAGATACCAATTGGATACCAGCTGGTCCATAAAAAGGGGCTATAACAATATGTCATTACTACTGGGTGATGTCATAAAAAAGAATGACTCACATTGCCAGCTTCTTTTTGTTGTATAAGTTGATCACATGCTTGGAGTGCACTCCAATTCTCTGCTTTAACAAGTTGTTTTACTTCATCATTTGGAAGGTCAATCCTGTAGTTGAAATCCCCGCACCAGAATACATAATCGTGAGAAGACAATGTGCGACCCTGAAACATATCATGTAGGTATTCTAATAGCTAGTTTTTATTCATTCCACTATTCTAACATTGCAGAAAGTAAAAACATATTTGTCATGTCAAATACAATTCTATTATGATGTAAGAACTTAGATCTCAACAAATTATGCTGAATTATGGGTCATTTGCATGTACTCCTGAGGAAATGTTGGTTTGAACCTATGTTAATCGAAATACGCTGTGTATTCTCAATGGACTCCAATGAATCTTGAAATCTTAATTGGTATAAGGCTGGCAATGAGAATATTGACTGCATTCGAAAAATCCTAAAACATGAATTACGATCAAGCAGCCTACAACATAAACAAAGGTTCAACGATGTCAATTTGATTGTACAAAAATAATCATCTTAGAAGTAACAAAACAGCAAAACAATTTTGTACATGCGAGTGAATAGATCTAAGCTATGGAATTCCATCATTTAACTGCTATTGTATATGTATTTCATGCATTTAGTGTTACTATAAACAATCAAAATACTACATGCATAGACAAATAAGTAAAATAAAATGACATATCATTTAACAACATGTATTTCCTTACCAAACACGATTCCTGCCACCATAGAATAAAAGTAAAGTATTTTATAATTGTGTAACTTCAGGAATCAAAACAATAGACTAGATGCAAGTAGAAATAATCTTGATTTTTAGGTACTTAAAATCAAGAAAAAAAGAAAATTACATCTAGAAATGTGGTTTAAAAATTGTTTATCAACTTTAAAATTTCAATTTTCTTTAAAAATGTAATACCAAAAAAAAATGTATATAGGTCCAGTAGATTCCTCATAGAGCCCTTGTTATAAAGTTATGTAAACAGATTTATCCTATGCCAAGTAGAGTTTTAGGGAGATAAGTTGGTAAGATATATCCCGTATCCTGATTTTGAGGTTTCCACATCCTGAACCTCCCGCCATATCTCCCGCTCCAGGGCATATCTTCCCGCTTCGAAAAAAAATTTGAAAAAATAAGAAAAAAAATTAAAAAAAGAAAAAATGTGAAGAAATTTGAAATTTTTTTAAAAAATTAGAAAAATGTGAAAAAATTGAAAAAAGAAAAAAATGAAAAAGATTGAAAGAAAATTAGAAAACTCTACTTGGTATAGGATAAAGCAGTTATGTACGGTCGGTTTGGATATTGGGTTCATCCCTCGTGAGATATGCACATCTATCTTCAGTCCCTACGGTCCCTCAGGTAGATATGCATATCTTCCTCTGGATAAACCCCATATCCAAAACCTCCCAGTACATAACCCTTATATATCTTGTCCTGAACAGATAATAATTTCTTTTACATAAGACATTTTAAATTATACTGTATAACTATCAGACTCAAAAAGGTTACATGAAAATTGATTCACTAACCCTGTATACACTATAAATTGTGTTTCAATCAGTTTAATCGTTTCAATGCATGCATCATTTCCTCCATTTCAATGCTTCTGTCGTTTTGAAAATTTCAATTGTTTCAAATCAATTCAACAGATTTGCCTGAGCTATTTTCACACTTTCATTTCAACCATTTCAAGCAATTCGGCCATTGCGCCCCCGTTTCAAGCATTTCACCTGCTAATACATAAAGGGCTTAAATCTATTTATAATCACTTTTTCTATGTCGCTTTTTGAAGAAATTGTTCTACCTCAAAAAGAGAAGAGGTATAGAGAGTGAAGCCAAATGGGCAAATTGAAATAATAAAGAAGTGTATATTATGATCATTACTTACCATGGGAAAAGCAATCTTTTTAACAAAATCTTTAAAATCGCTATTCCTCTCTGCTACATTGGATTGACCAGCAGCAAAGTGAGAACATACAAAACAGATAGATGTGCTGTGGAGAAGGAACCTTATAGCTACACCTCCTTTATTTCCTGTTTTACCACCAAGCCCAGTTTTAACTGTATCAATTGCTACATCTCTGAAAGAAAAAGTTGTTATTTGTAGACTCCTTTACTAATTATTTTACATGAAATGTCATCACAGTATTCACTCTTAACATATTTCAACAAACATATTTGAACTACAACAATTACATGACATGCTGCATATCTGGAACTTACCTTATGAAAGGGGCCAGATGAGGTCTAACAAAGACAAACAGACAGACTCCAACCAACTGCGTTGATGTAAGTAGGACATATTTATGTTCCCTTGAGATTGTTTTCTGAAGTTCTTTTCCCCAGACATTCTGATTTGAAGTGCTAAAATGAAATGAACAAATAATGATATTCTATTAAAACCAATGCTTACTTTTATTCTACTTGAATGTAATTATAATCTATATATTTCTACTATATTGTTTCAATGCACTGCCGGCTTGAGAACTTTTCTCATAAAATTTCTCATAAATATTTGTCTTATAATTTTCATAAAGTGTTTTTAATTAATTTTAATTACTGAAAACAATTTTCCTCTTTATCTGAAATCACCCAAAAGGCTTAACACAGAGAGGTTGTATTATGATTTCCAAATTTCATGAGGGGAGGGTATGTATCAAACCCACCCTGCACTCCTATTGCATATATATCAATGGGGGAATATTAAACCCACCTTGAACTCATGATGTAACTGGCATTAAGGTCCACTATTTCCTCAAATCCTATTGCATATATATCAATGGGGGAATATTAAGATTTATGTATCAAACCCACCTTGCACTCATGATGTTACTGGCATTAAGGTCCACTATTTCCTCAAATCCTATTGCATATATATCAATGGGGGAATATTAAGATTTATGTATCAAACCCACCTTGCACTCATGATGTTACTGGCATTAAGGTCCACTATTTCCTCAAATCCTATTGCATATATATCAATGGGGGAATATTAAGATTTATGTATCAAACCCACCTTGCACTCATAATGTTACTGGCATTAAGGTCCACTATTTCCTCAAATCCTATTGCATATATATCAATGGGGGAATATTAAGATTTATGTATCAAACCCACCTTGCACTCATGATGTTACTGGCATTAAAGCAGATATGAAATGGTATTTTTAACCTAAAGGAATCAATATAATTTTTTGATAAATGTATTTGGACATGTTTTCTCATCAGTAGTGCGAAAACTATTTCACTCTAACGATCGTTATAGCTGCTTAATAAGCAATATTCGAATTGGTTGTGACGTTATTGGCCCCCACGTGATCTCTCACTGGTCCCCACGTGGCCCATAACGTCATAATGCCAAAATGTTTTGTTTTGGTTTACACTACAATCCTATGGTTGCCGTGACGTTGTGATTACAAAGGTACCAATAAACCAAAGCTATATTTTGTATATGACGTTACTTATCACGTGGGGGCCAATTTGATTGATCAGTTAGTTTTATTTCGTTATATATGACCGTTAGCAGTTTTTAACATTTATTTTATAATGGCTATCGCAAGAACTCTACGTTGGGCTTACAATGGAGAAAACCGCATTTGTGTAGCTGCAAGTTGAGAAAAGCTATTTCAGTTGTCCTTTAAGGTCCACTATTTCCTCAAATCCTATTGCATATATATCAATGGGGGAATATTAAGATTTATGTATCAAACCCACCTTGCACTCATGATGTTACTGGCATTAAGGTCCACTATTTCCTCAAATCCTATTGCATATATATCAATGGGGGAATATTAAGATTTATGTATCAAACCCACCTTGCACTCATGATGTTACTGGCATTAAGGTCCACTATTTCCTCAAATCCTATTGCATATATATCAATGGGGGATTGCAAGTCCTCACATGGCTCATCAAATGATAATAATTTATCTGTAAACATAAGAAAATGTTTTGATAAAAATATGCTGCATAAAATTATCATTGTATTCTTGTATATCTTCAAATTATGATTTCAATAGCCATCGTTGGAACAATCGTAATGCAAAAAGGAAATTTTTAGATTAGTATTCTAACAATCAACCATTATTCATATTCACGTAACTTGCTATTGGCATTAAACAGTTGGAAATCACTATAAACTAGGGCATCCTTTAAGGCTGTGTAATGAACAAGTCTAAACTATACCAATGCAACGGGACACTGCAAGACTCTGTGCGACCTTGCCCATTGGTGTACATTTGGCTAATCATATTATGACAAATCTTGCCCATTGGTGTACATTTGGCTTATCATATTATGACAAATCTTGCCCATTGGTGTACATTTGGCTTATCATATTATGACAAATCTTGCCCATTGGTGTACATTTGGCTAATCATATAATGCCTAAAATTGCTCACCTGTTTTCTTCTTGTTCATTGCTCTAGCATCGAGCAGCCAATCATCCATGGACTCATGTTTAAAAGCAATACTGCGGAAATGTTGACCCCCATTGACATTCCAAGTTCCAACAGCAACTCTAATTGGCACAGGACTGGTGTATTCATAATGTCTGCTGACCATCTCATGTAGGATACTAGGAGAGGCTGAAAATATAACAGCACGAGAAGAGCATTAAATTTGTTTCTTAAATGAAATATATCGATTAGTTTCTATCTAGTTTGGAATTAACTATTTTTACTTTTTAATATTATAAAATTTCTTCTTGAGCACAGCTCCTGCATCGCTAGGAATAGAACAAAATCTGTCCACTGGTATATGAGTTATCAAAGATTACATTTTAATGAAAAATGGTAGCCATTTTGAAATTCAACAACCATCTTGGAAATTCCGTGTCGAATAGAGTATGTAGGCATCAGCACAAATAATTTGATCCAAATCCATTGAGTTGTCAAAGTTTACGTTTTTTACAAAAAATGATAGCCATTTTGTTATCAAATTCTGATCAGACAGATGGACAGCTTCTCTATATACCCCCTCGAATTTTCAGTGGGATAACTATTATAACCTAATGATGATGTGTATACAAATCTATGCTATATTTCTGGGGCCATGTTTTTCTTCCCAGAAGCATACCAAAGAACTGAAGTATCAAGTCAGACACATAGATGAGGCACCAACGCCTAACTTATATAGGCACTAAAGGCACCCTTACATACGTACATATGCCACACAGGAGAGATTAAATGTAAAGAGAAGTATTTGCATGTGTAACAAATATGAAATATAAATTGATAGGTGCAGATGTGAGAGATGTAGCATCTCATTGGTGACTTAAATGTACAGGGTGGTCCAAAAAAAATGGGACACTCGTATTTCAAAAATAAATATTGATTTTCTTTATGAAAACATGTCATATTATATACCAGTGGATAGGGAATTTACTGATCTTTAATTTGGTATATCATAAGTTCAAATTTATTATAATGTCTGTCAACCAGCGTCCATAATATAAATGACGTCATTTTCATTTCAAAACGGGTTTTCTGAAACTTACAAAAACAAGTTTTATTGTCAACTTTATTTACATAAACAGACGTTCAATATGTCCATTTTGATCAATTGTACACTCAATTTTGGCCTAAACTGGCCAATAGCATCATTGATATGCTGTTAAGACAATAAATTTCACTTCTCATTAATTCAACTCTGTCCTCAAGAGACTGAATAGATGTAAAGGATTCATGGTACTAGAGTTCTGTTAGTTCTCCCCATACGTGGTAGTCGCAGATGTTGGGTGATCGTGTGATCTGGTCTAAGCAGCGATTAGGGGGATGAATCTAGGCACATTTTCATTTAAGCATTTGACACTCTTGTGAGATCTATCTCTGGAGCCCCATCTTGTTGGAAAATGTAATGATTCAAGAATGAGCTCATATCAGGATGGTCTAAAAACAACATAATTGGATAATAAGATGTCAACGTCTTCGACTACCACGTATTGGGAGAACCTACAGAACTGGTTAACCATGAACCCCTTACATCTACTCAGTCCCTTATTAAGGATAGACTTGTTGAGAAGTGGAATTCATTGTCTCAACAGAATATCAATGATGTTTTTGACCAGTTTAGGCAAAATTGTGTTTATGAAATTGATCAAAATGGTGGACATATTGAACGTCTGTTTGGGTAAATAAAGTTGACAAAAAATTTGTTTTTGCAAGTTTTTGAAAACCTGTTTTGAAACTAAAATGACGTCATTTATATAACGGACGCTGGTTGACAGACATTATGATAAATTTGAACTTATGATATACCAAATTAAAGATAAGTAAATTCCCTATCCACTGGTATATAATATGAAATGTTTTCATCAAGAAAATCAATATTTATTTTTGAAATACGATTTTCTCATTTTTTTGGACCACCCTGTATGTTATGCAGAATTAATGGTGCCAGTATGGGCATCCATGAATTGAATTTGAGCATTAGTACAACCAAAAGACAGTTTCATTTGTTGGGAATTTATTGATAAACAGACATGAGATCCAAAAGGCTTTCCATGAGAGCCAATGGTTTAATGAATAGTGTGTAATTATTTTGCTAAATACTTGAATTATTATAACTTTAAGTAATCTGCCATGTAATTCTTTTCTTCTCTGATTTACTACATCTACTCATGTTTTAATTTATTTAGTACAATAAATGTTTAAAATAAATTTCATTTATAAGGTGCCAGGCATTAGAATATTGCAATTTTATTATCTCTAATGTTTGTGACAACAACTAAGTGAAATACTGTAGGTTATGGGACATACATCAAGAATACATAAATTAAATCATATTTGACATGCTATTAGAAACAGTAAGACAAAATATTTGAGACATATTTTATCATAATATTATCATGTCTGTGTTCTCATTGTAATATTATGATTTTCATCTATCTATTAAAAATAAATAAATAAATATAAGCACTGGAAAATGTTGATCAGCAGTGCTTTACACCTTTAGTCTGAATGGCTAGCATCACACTATCTAGGATTTGTTTAATATATCTTCAATGTGGTAGATCAATGATTAGAGCATACTCATATTGCTGACATAGAAGCTTTAACCTCTGAATGGCTAACATCACATTTATCTAGGGTTTGTTTTATATATCTCCAATGTGGCAGGTCAATGATTAAAGCATACTCAGATTGCTGGCATAGAAGCTTTAACCTCTGAATGGCTAATATCAAACTATATAGGGTTTATTTTATATATCTTCAATGTGGTAGATCAATGATTAGAGCATACTCATATTGCTGACATAGAAGCTTTAACCTCTGAATGGCTAACATCACATTTATCTAGGGTTTGTTTTATATATCTCCAATGTGGCAGGTCAATGATTAAAGCATACTCAGATTGCTGGCATAGAAGCTTTAACCTCTGAATGGCTAATATCAAACTATATAGGGTTTATTTTATATATCTTCCAATGTGGTAGGTCAATGATTAAAGCATACTCATATTGCTGGCATAGAAGCTTTAACCTCTGAATGGCTAATATCAAACTATATAGGGTTTATTTTATATATCTTCCAATGTGGTATGTCAATGATTAGAGCATACTCATATTGCTGGCATAGAAGCTTTAACCTCTAAAATACCCACCCAGAACAATGAATACTTTTGTCAAAACCTCTAAATATACACAAATAATTGTGTTTCATAAAGATAGATAGAAGAGAGTCAAAAGTTGGCAAAAATGACAAAATGCTCTGGGTTCAAACAATTCCTGGTATTCAAGCGATAAGGCCATAATGAATAATATGCTGTCCATAGCAACTTTTAGAATGTTTGAATACTTATAGAATGTATTGGATACAATATGATGGTGTCCTTTGTTCATCCTTTTTCTCATAACAAACACCCATATGGAATACATACTCAGGAAGTAAATTCTTACCATGTAAACTATTAGTAGAGAGAAGTGCCCTAGCTTTATCCCCCAGATCACTATTCATTGTCAAGTCAAGTCAAATGAAAGTGAAGGACATAAAATACTGACTTACCATGTAAACTATTAGTAGAGAGAAGTGCCCTAGCTTTATCCCCCAGATCACTATTCATTGTCAAGTCAAGTCAAATGAAAGTGAAGGACATAAAATACTGACTCACCATGCAAACTATTAGTAGAGAGAAGTGCCCTAGCTTTGTCCGCAAGTTCACTGTTCAGTGCACTGCCAAGCAACAGTATGTCGATTGCTTCCTGTTTGCTGCGGTCCATGAAGTTATTCTGTATCGTCCTTGTTGCAGATCTTGCAGCATCCTTTGCCTACGAATATATATCAATGGGTTATGAGATTTTTGAATTATTTTTACTTATTTTTATGTAACTTATTTTAAAAAGCCAGTGATGATATCAATTTTGCAATAATAACTTCACTTACAAGTATTTATAACAAGTTGTGTTGACCTTTATTGCTTGATTTATAGCGAAAACATTGACTTTTGCATGTTGGTAACCTTGCACCTTTTTTGATAGATCAGCTCATATCTTTGAAGCCTATTCATTGGTTAAAAAAAAAACTGCCTTCCCTCTGTTCATTTTGTCAGATCACAGGGCATGGTGATGACCAATAGTTTCTTGTCGTTTGTCTTGTTAAAAAATATACCATGTACAGATTCATTTCAAATTTAATTAAATCAACATTTAATAAGACCAGTGATCTCCCCAGCATTAAAGCAAGTGGGCGCAGCACCCACCTGAGATTTTGGAAATAGGCTTGCACCCACCTGAAAATCCATTTGCACCCACTTGAAAATAAGAAAAAAACATGAAGAATTGGCATATTTTGACCAATTTTTGGTCTGAATTGTGGAAATGAGAATTTTGCACCCACCTGAGAAAAAATCCTGAGGAGATCACTGAAGACAATAAGTTACATAGCATTCGATGGCTAGCTAGATATAACAAGACATTAAAATGCAAAATGTCACCACTTGCCATTTGTTCCAGACACCGACTGCTGAACACCGACCACAAAAAGTTCGAGACTATAAGAGTATGTCACCACCTCTGGTAATGACATAATATTTACAGTTTTCCTACCTTTGATCTGCCCCCTCCAAGAGCTCCAGTTCCAGCGTATATCTTGCTGACATGGTCCCCATTGAGGCCCCACATTTGTCTGTAAACCTCCATGAATCGAGACAACATCTGTGGCTTGCTGTTGATACCTAATGGCTCTAGTTGTTTGATCAGTGCCTGCAAATGAACAAAGTGCATTGCTACAAATGGTACTGAACCAAGACAACATCTGTGGCTTGCTGTTGATACCTAATGGCTCTAGTTGTTTGATGAGTGCCTGCAAATGAAGGAAGCGCATTGCTACAAATGGTACTGAACCAAGACAACATCTGTGGCTTGCTATACCTAATGGCTCTAGTTGTTTGATCAGTGCCTGCAAATGAACAAAGTGCATTGCTACAAATGGTACTGGACCGAGACAACATCTGTGGCTTGCTGTTGATACCTAATGGCTCTAGTTGTTTGATCAGTGCCTGCAAATGAATAAAGTGCAGTTACAAATGGTACTGAACCAAGATTACATCTGTGGCTTGCTGTTGATACCTAATGGCTCTAGTTGTTTGATCAGTGCCTGCAAATGAATAAAGTGCATTGCTACAAATGGTACTGAACCAAGATAACATCTGTGGCTTGCTATTGATACCTAATGGCTCTAGTTGTTTGATCAGTGCCTGCAAATGAACAAAGTGCATTGCTACAAATGGTACTGAACCAAGATAACATCTGTGGCTTGCTGTTGATACCTAATGGCTCTAGTTGTTTGATGAGTGCCTGCAAATGAACAAAGCGCATTGCTACAAATGGCACTGAACCAAGACAACATCTGTGGCTTGATGTTGATACCTAATGGCTCTAGTTGTTTGATCAGTGCCTGCAAATGAATAAAGTGCATTGCTACAAATGGTACTGAACCAAGATAACATCTGTGGCTTGCTGTTGATACCTAATGGCTCTAGTTGTTTGATCAGTGCCTGCAAATGAATAAAGTGCATTGCTACAAATGGTACTGAACTGAGACAACATCTGTGGCTTGCTGTTGATACCTAATGGCTCTAGTTGTTTATCAGTGCCTGCAAATGAACAAAGTGCATTGCTACAAATGGTACTGAACCAAGACAACATCTGTGGCTTGCTGTTGATACCTAATGGCTCTAGTTGTTTGATCAGTGCCTGCAAATGAACAAAGCACATTGCTACAAATGGTACTGAACAGAGACAACATCTGTGGCTTGCTATACCTAATGGCTCTAGTTGTTTGATCAGTGCCTGCAAATGAACAAAGTGCATTGCTACAAATGGTACTGAACAGAGACAACATCTGTGGCTTGCTGTTGATACCTAATGGCTCTAGTTGTTTGATCAATGCCTGCAAATGAACAAAGCGCATTGCTACAAATGGTACTGAACTGAGACAACATCTGTGGCTTGCTGTTGATACCTAATGGCTCTAGTTGTTTGATCAGTGCCTGCAAATGAACAAAGTGCATTGCTACAAATGGTACTGAACAGAGACAACATCTGTGGCTTGCTGTTGATACCTAATGGCTCTAGTTGTTTGATCAGTGCCTGCAAATGAATAAAGTGCATTGCTACAAATGGTACTGAATCAAGATAACATCTGTGGCTTGCTGTTGATACCTAATGGCTCTAGTTGTTTGATCAGTGCCTGCAAATGAATAAAGTGCATTGCTACAAATGGTACTGAACCAAGATAACATCTGTGGCTTGCTGTTGATACCTAATGGCTCTAGTTGTTTGATCAGTGCCTGCAAATGAACAAAGCGCATTGCTATAAATGGAAATGAACCGAGACAACATCTGTGGCTTGCTGTTGATACCTAATGGCTCTAGTTGTTTGATCAGTGCCTGCAAATGAATAAAGTGCATTGCTACAAATGGTACTGAACCAAGACAACATCTGTAGCTTGCTGTTGATACCTAATGGCTCTAGTTGTTTGATCAGTGCCTGCAAATGAACAAAGTGCATTGCTACAAATGGTACTGAACTGAGACAACATCTGTGGCTTGTTGTTGATACCTAATGGCTCTAGTTGTTAGATCAGTGCCTGCAAATGAACAAAGCGCATTGCTACAAATGGTACTGAACCAAGACAACATCTGTGGCTTGCTGTTGATACCTAATGGCTCTAGTTGTTTGATCAGTGCCTGCAAATGAACAAAGTGCATTGCTACAAATGGTACTGAACTGAGACAACATCTGTGGCTTGCTGTTGATACCTAATGGCTCTAGTTGTTTGATCAGTGCCTGCAAATGAACAAAGTGCATTGCTACAAATGGTACTGAACCAAGACAACATCTGTGGCTTGCTGTTGATACCTAATGGCTCTAGTTGTTTGATCAGTGCCTGCAAATGAACAAAGTGCATTGCTACAAATGGTACTGAACCGAGACAACATCTGTGGCTTGCTGTTGATACCTAATGGCTCTAGTTGTTTGATCAGTGCCTGCAAATGAACAAAGTGCATTGCTACAAATGGTACTGAACCAAGACAACATCTGTGGCTTGCTGTTGATACCTAATGGCTCTAGTTGTTTGATCAGTGCCTGCAAATGAACAAAGTGCATTGCTACAAATGGTACTGAACCGAGACAACATCTGTGGCTTGCTGTTGATACCTTATGGCTCTAGTTGTTTGATCAGTGCCTGCAAATGAACAAAGTGCATTGCTACAAATGGTACTGAACCAACACAACATCTGTGGCTTGCTGTTGATACCTAATGGCTCTAGTTGTTTGATCAGTGCCTGCAAATGAACAAAGTGCATTGCTACAAATGGTACTGAACCGAGACAACATCTGTGGCTTGCTGTTGATACCTAATGGCTCTAGTTGTTTGATCAGTGCCTGCAAATGAACAAAGCACATTGCTACAAATGGTACTGAACCGAGACAACATCTGTGGCTTGCTGTTGATACCTAATGGCTCTAGTTGTTTGATCAGTGCCTGCAAATGAACAAAGTGCATTGCTACAAATGGTACTGAACCGAGACAACATCTGTGGCTTGCTGTTGATACCTAATGGCTCTAGTTGTTTGATCAGTGCCTGCAAATGAACAAAGCGCATTGCTATAAATGGCACTGAACCGAGACAACATCTGTGGCTTGCTGTTGATACCTAATGGCTCTAGTTGTTTGATCAGTGCCTGCAAATGAACAAAATGCATTGCTACAAATGGTACTGAACCAAGACAACATCTGTGGCTTGCTGTTGATACCTAATGGCTCTAGTTGTTTGATCAGTGCCTGCAAATGAACAAAGTGCATTGCTACAAATGGTACTGAACCAAGACAACATCTGTGGCTTGCTGTTGATACCTAATGGCTCTAGTTGTTTGATCAGTGCCTGCAAATGAATAAAGTGCATTGCTACAAATGGTACTGAACCGAGACAACATCTGTGGCTTGCTTTTGATACCTAATGGCTCTAGTTGTTTGATCAGTGCCTGCAAATGAATAAAGTTCATTGCTACAAATGGTACTGAACCAAGACAACATCTGTGGCTTGCTGTTGATACCTAATGGCTCTAGTTGTTTGATCAGTGCCTGCAAATGAACAAAGTGCATTGCTACAAATGGTACTGAACCGAGACAACATCTGTGGCTTGCTGTTGATACCTAATGGCTCTAGTTGTTTGATCAGTGCCTGCAAATGAACAAAGTGCATTGCTACAAATGGTACTGAACCGAGACAACATCTGTGGCTTGCTGTTGATACCTAATGGCTCTAGTTGTTTGATCAGTGCCTGCAAATGAACAAAGTGCATTGCTACAAATGGTACTGAACCGAGACAACATCTGTGGCTTGCTGTTGATACCTAATGGCTCTAGTTGTTTGATGAGTGCCTGCAAATGAACAAAGCACATTGCTACAAATGGTACTGAACCAAGACAACATCTGTGGCTTGCTGTTGATACCTAATGGCTCTAGTTGTTTGATCAGTGCCTGCAAATGAACAAAGCGCATTGCTACAAATGGTACTGAACTGAGACAACATCTGTGGCTTGCTGTTGATACCTAATGGCTCTAGTTGTTTGATCAGTGCCTGCAGATGAACAAAGCGCATTGCTATAAATGGAACTGAGTAAGCATGGACTCATGAGAATTTCAGTGTTTAAGCTATCTGTGAGAAAATTTGGCTTTAAGGTCTAGCTTTATTTGCTGGTAAGTTAATTTGACATGTTCATGGAACTGCATTCATTATAAAAGACACTCTAAGCCATTTGATGCTATACATAGCATGAGACAGATTATGATGCCTTATATATTGATGAAATACATAGCATGAGACAGATTATGATGCCTTATATATTGATGCAATACATAGCATGAGACAGATTATGATGCCTTATATATTTTAATGTCATTGCTTCTAAAACCATAACAAGACAACATGTGTTGGGCTAAAATGGACGATATTATTTATTAATCTAAATGTTTAACCGCCCGTTTGTAAAACATAATTACAACATGTACAAATACAAAATAAATAGACGTAGTAGTTAAGGTACAGGGTGGGAGGGAGTGGTAAAAGCTGTCCACTCCTATCCTTGCTACACGTACAATATGAACTAGAGAAACGCATGCGCAAATTGCAATTACAAATAAGTTATATAAAAGATGTCGCTTACATTAAAATTCATTTATTACATAAATATACATTAATGTCATTGCTTCTAAAACCATAACAAGACAACATGTGTTGGGCTAAAATGGACGATATTATTTATTAATCTAAATGTTTAACCGCCCAAAACGCCCACACTTTTAAACATTTTGAACCAACCTTTTTGACAACGATGCTAACTTTATGACTGGGGTTCTTATGTATCGTTTATAGCAATCACTGGTCCATCTTCCAAGTATTTTCAGTTCCCATTCTTCTAAATTGGCCATTGCGCCAGAAGAAGCTCCGCCAATGCGGTAGCTGTGACCACTATATTTAGAAGGGTCAATGCCAAGTAAAGCCAATCGAGATCTAGTGTGATTGACAAATACTGAACGTGTCAAAACTGAACCATTCTTCAATATAAACAAAGGAGAAGTTGGTGTAAGGTCTTCATGCAATTTAACATTTTGACTCATGGCGCACATCGCGCAAACATTGCTATCAGTACACCCTATAATAACCTGTATTCCTGTGCCAATTGAATCTG